TTTCAGGTAGTTTACTAGCTCTGTAACAATCTGTTGCTCTAGGTTCAGGCAGCAAGTTTCTGGTGCGGTTTCTATACATATCAGGGGCAGACAGTTGAACCTTTAAATCAGCAATCTGTCTCTTTAAGTCAGCAATTTCAGTTGCTTCTACATCACTTTTAATTTTTGGAGTGGCTGTAGTTTGCATGGCTGTAATCTGTGCCTGTAACTCAGTGACAACATTTCTCAGCTCACTCACTTCATCTGGTTTTGCATTTTTTTTCTTTTCTTTCTGGCTTAAAGGCTTTTGCAGTGCAACAACTTGAGCTTGAAGTTCACACACTTGCTTTGCGAGAGATGTGTCAGTTTGATCATCCTGCATTTCACATTGGTGGGCAGATATCTGGTGAGCTGACAGTCTGAATTTCGAGGGGGCAGGATAGTGTTTATTTAGCCCTAAATGTTTTCTCATTCTTTCTTCTTTAGAGGCATTTTTATCTTCTTCTGTACGGATGAGAACTACTAATTCTGCAAATGAAGGAGGAGTGGCTTTTCTCCTTTCTAATTGAAGGTTAGCAATGAGGGAACTGTCCCAACAGCCGCGACAAAACTGCTTTAGAAGATATCGGTTTCTCTCTTCTTCAAATATCCCACCTCGTCGAATAGCTGTGCTTAAGAGTACTTGTAATCTGTGCAGGTAAGTTGAAGGCTTCTCACCATTGTTTTGGAAGCTATTCATAAATCTGGCTAATAACTCATCTCCGTCTTCTACAGAGCCATATACAGACTCCAGCAATTCCAGATATACTGCAGGTAAACTGTTAGGTGAGACATGTTTAACAATATCTGCAGCAGGGGGAAGCAGACTGTCTATGATTCTTCTGGCTCGATTTAAGTCAGATATAGAAGGATCTGTCAGTAGGAGATCAACACTGGCACGCCAAGTGTCAAAGTCTGGCTCATTAACAGGTCTAGGAATTTTTCCAGAGAAAGATCGGAGGCGAAAAGAGGTATGGTGCATTGGAGCTGTGTCATTTGTGCGGACAATGTGCTCAACTACTACCTTTTGCACGCTAGCAGGATCAATTATATCCATGTTAAGTGCTGGATGGGATGACACTGTTACTGTGGGTTTAGTACTTCTATGGTTAGGGCTTTCCTTGGACAGGTTTTTTGAATTTGTTGATTCAACTTCATGAAATGGTAAAATTCTAGATGAAGGAAAAGCTGTTTGTTCAGTAATCATACTTTGTGATATGACTGGGGACAGCAGTCTATTTGGTGAACTGACTGTGCTACGATCAAGTATTTGAGAACGTGCTGCATTTGGAAATTCAAGCTTTTTATCCAAAACAGGTAGTGATTCAGCATGAGAAGGGCCAAATTTCATCTTCAGTAACTCTGTTTGGAGTACCTCCTCAATCGATTTCCCACTAAAACTAGCAATGTTTCGCAATTCCTCCAGATATCCATTAGTAGCACTATCACTAGCAATATGGGAATAAACGCAACTTAAAGCACGTACCATGAAAGTGGTACTTGGGTTTGACATACTAACTACAGTTAAAGGCAAAAGAGGCATCAATGTTTTCATCGCGGAGTTATGTGTAAACTCTATGATAGCATGTCGATGAAACTCACAGTCAGGGTCATCAATTAGAAGATGTCGGTTAATACTACCATATCTTAAAAGCCATGACTCTAAATCTGAGTCTGTCTCAGTCAGTGTCATTCCACCCACAATCACTGTTTTTGAGATATCTACATTCTCTTTTTCTATGATATCCATGACGTTAAAGTTCTCTCCGATTTGTAATACTTATAGTGAACTCGAATACTGTAATTAGACACTGTTGTTGCAATCTCTCTCCTGGCTGGCTCTCGCCACTTTTTGGTATGTAACCCTCGGTACACAAATGTATTATAAGATTTAATCAATGGACCAGATGCTCAGAAGTCTAAATTCCTCCAAAGAGAGAGAAGATACAACAACAGTGAAGGACTCGGACACAGAGGTAAGAATAATAAAAGATTGTATTGTAAAATGTTCACTGAAATATATATAAAAATAAATAAAAATAAATAAAACAAATTCTAGATTTTTTCACACTTATCTAATGACCTCAATCTTATTTACACTCTCTAATAACACTTCTCTTTCTTCACAGGCTATATCACTAATAAGGTAAGTTAATATTGTTGTTTTTCTGTTTTTCTATTGTTAAGGCTAATATTATATTTTGGTTACTATTATAACAATAATATAATATTAATATGCTAATAACAGTACTATATTAAAGGTTTGCAAGTGTAAGTTAATAATACAATATTAAAATTGTATTATTATTTAACATATAATCAAGATTTCCCTTCTTAAATCAGTTAACCTCTCTCTATAAAGATTCAAAAATTTCAACGAATGAACACTCTAAAGGAACAATGTACAAATAAAATAAAAATGAAAATAAAACATTCACTTAAAACATTTCAAAATGTTCCAAAAGTCCAGTAAAGGTGATAAACTTTCAAAAAGATTCTTTTGCAAAACAACTAGGTTGCAAATTCAGTTCCAGAGATCCAGGATGTTGCACTTGTGAGTGTGTTGTAATTTTACACTCCTACCATGACGCTGAATAGGTTTTACTTTGTATCTTTTCAACAGGTGTATCCAAAGAATCCACTCAATGGGAGGCTCGCCAGTCCAACTCCACAATTAGACACGCCGATGGAAGTTGAGACAATCCAAATCCAGAAAAGAGTTCAAACTTCAATTAATTCGAATCCAGAGCAGATCACATCCAGCAACTGACGTCAATAGAACATCTCACCGATGAAAAATCAGAAGAAGATGCACAAACGAACAAAACCAAGGAAAAGAAAAAAAAAAAAACCTGGCCTTGAAAACACAAGGCCAAAGAAACAATTAGCATTTTACAGTGTATGCATTAACTCAGCTTAACACATTTCTAAATAAACAGCAACAGTAAATAACCATGTATATGCTTCTCTCTGCTCAATTTCTGTGTTTTTCCTATTTCTCTCCTATTTGGCATTTTCTTTTTACAAATGACAGCATTTTACTTAAACTTTCTCACTTAAACTTTACACAATCACTTGTATAATACTCTGTATAATACTTTGTGTTTTTTACTAGACCAAACAAATGGTTAATTAATAAAACACATTTTTCGACACTAGTTTAAATCATGTTATAATGAAAACAATAATAATAATAAAAAAAAAAACGAACTCACCAAGGAAATCATTCAAAATCAAAATGAAACAAACAGGAAAACTCCAGGTGGCACTCGTGTGCAGATTTCACTCTCAGAGACAAATCTTGTTTTTTTCTCTCTCAATCCTTCATTAAAAATATATGATTGAAATCATGTCAGCATCTTATTAATAGTCAATTTTCACAGTTAATACGCATTAAAACATTAAAAGATGTAAATCTAATAGTTATATTACTGTTATTAATATAACAACTTACATCTCTGCTTTCCCTTGCGAACACTGAATCACCATAGCAACGGTAAACACAAGCTAACAGACAAGCGAGATTTGTTATCTTTTGGAAAGCTGATCTGCTGCTATAGTGTAAGGCACGATGATGTCATTCTAAAGCACTATTCCCTTGAATGCTGTATAATACTCTATTATAAATTATTTATATAAGTAAATAATTTTAATGTATATTATTTAATCGAGTATTCTGCCAATGTTTTTTTTCCTTATATTTCTATTTGCTCTATTGCTGTATACTACCCACTAGTAACCTGGGTTACACTAGTTTTCTCTGTTGTGAAGAGGTCAAATTTGAAATTTTTACTTTTGATCATCAGTAGCAGTGCAATGAAAGCCTAGTTTCTGGCTTAAAATTATATAATTATATGGTGTATAGTGTGTGTGAGAGAGTGTGAAAGAGACCTTTGCGCACTTACCTTGATATGTTTGAGATAATAAAAAATAAGCAGCTCAGCTTTCACAATATAGTAAACAAAGTGAGTGTATTTATGCACACACACTGTAATTTGTTGTTTTACTCCAAAGAGCTCCATTTGCACAGGCCTATCTAAAGAGATTACATTCAACAAGTTGTTAATTTTAGTCACTATAAAGTACCTATGTGTCTTGTAATAAACAGTGTGTTGACAGAATAATTGATAATAACAAGGTGTTGAGTTATTAGAGATTAATTGTGGTGATGTCAATATATTTAAATTTAATTTAATCTATGGGATGGAAAGTAAGAGAGAGAATATGTATACAGTTGAAATCAGAATTATTATCCCCCCTTTAATTTTGCTTTTCTTTTCTAAATATTTCCCAAATGATGTTTAACAGAGCAAGGACATTTTACAGTATGTCTGATAATAGTTTTTCTTTTGAAGAAAAGTCTTATTTGTTTTATTTTAACTAGAATAAAAGCAGTTTTTATAAAAAAACAAACAAACAAAAAAAAAATTTTTAAGGTCAAAACTAATAGCCTCGTTTGTTTCTTTTGCTGTTGTAAGCAGCAAGATCCTGCAAGAACCCAAATAATTAGACAAACGTGATATAGAAGTGTAATGTCATCAAACCTGTTTGTACTACCCTGAAAATGACTGCATTCCTTACTTTGGTTGTTTACCAGTCAGAATCGAAATCATTAAACAAACAGCCCTGTAGTATAATTCAGAAAAGAACCCTGACATTTCCTTTTGTGAAATATTTTGCATGCAAAACAATAATGTGTTTCAAATGTATTCCACTTGATATTCTTATAACTAATGCACATATTTTATCAGAATATATTTTAGCTCAAAGTAGATATTAAAGGTGCACACAGCGACATTTGCCAAACAATGTTGTCATTTGAAAGCACTAAAACAAACACACCCATAACCCAACAAGACCACACCTCTTTCTATTGCTGATTTTGGGACTCTGTGGTCAAAAACAGCTTCAAATATTTCTAAGTGCACCTTTAAATTGTGTGCGTGTGTGTGTGTGTGTGTGTGTGTGTTTGTTTGTTGCAGGATTTTAAGGAGGAGCTGGAGTGTATGGTAAAGGAGCAGAGCTCTAAAGGCAGCAACTCTAGTGGTTTACTCGGTCACATCGCACACATCATCAGCAACACACTCAGCAACACTGGAGTGCACAGTCCCAGCAGTAAGTGCACATACACACACTTGTACAGCTATCTTAATAACTATCTTTATTCCCTTACTAGGGCTGCACATTATATCGTTTCAGCATCAATATCGCAATGTTGACATCACATCACAGGATCTGCAACAACAGTTAAAGTTCAGTTCAGTTTTAGTTTAGTCGTCTATTAGGATATTTGAGTGAGGATAATAGTTGACTAGGAATCACACTGTAATGGTAATAGAGTGAAAGTTTTTTTTTTTTTTTTTCAAAAAATAACTGCAGTAAACTGAAGTAAAACTGTAGAAATACAGTACAATAAAGTTCAACAGCAGTAAACTGGAGTAAAAACAAGTAAACTCTTTACTGCACTTGTCCTGCTGTGTATGCCAATGGTGTGGTAAGAACTGTATTGCACTTGTGTTCTAAGGGGTTTGTTCTTCAACATCTTTCAATAATTTTCTGTACTTTTTTCAGGAATGTTTTTTTTTTGATTTAAGTAATATTCTAATTTGAATTAAAAAAAAACAAATAGTAAAAAAATAACTGCAGTGAACTGAACAGTACAACAGCAGTAGACTATACAAGGATAACTGTGGTACAGTATATTTAATGCAACTGCAAAATTGCAGTATAGTGAAGTATAAACAGAGTTCAACTACAGTGCAATAAAGTTCAATAGCAGTAAGCACAACTTAAGTAACATTAAATAAACTGAGCGGGCAATATAGTGATATGTTATATATTGCACTTAGGTATATATGTATTAAAAGTGCACATTAGCTTTATTAGGCTGGCTTGTAAAAGCCAGACTACTGAAATCCTTTTTAAACTTATTATTATTTTTACTTATTTATTTACCTATTTATTCTTCTTCTTTCTTTGACTAAATTTGCAACTCCATCTCCTCCTAGAGCTTTCAAGCTATGACCACCAAACTTGGTCCAGACCTTCAAACTGACTCTGTATACCATATCTTTTCAGACTGATCCGGGAAAACATCCGGGCACTGTCGGAAAAATCCCATAGACTTAACATTAGATCAAACTTTGTGACCTCATAACTCTGCATCAGACTGTCACACAGACTTCTAACTGGGCTCATTTAACTCAGACGATCTAACTGCCAACGACTAATCACCTTTAAACTTTCTAGCCACTTGCCCTAGCAACCACTTTTTGGATCATAGAAACTGTCCCATACACTTCCATAGCAAAAGACTCTCATTGACTTAACATTGGGTCAAATTTGTAAGCTCGTAACTTTCCATCAGACTGTCATACAGACTAATGGCTGAGCTCATTTAACTCAGACTACCAAACTGCCAATAACTGATGAGCTTTTAACTTTCTAGCCAGACCCTAACTACCAGAAACTGCACCCTAGCAACTGTCCATAGACTTCCAATGCAAAAGACTGTCATTGACCTAACATTGGATCAAACTTTGTGACATCATAACTCTCCATCAGACTGTCATACTGACTAATGGTCTTTTATCTATCTATCTATCTATCTATCTATCTATCTATCTATCTATCTATCTATCTATCTATCTATCTATCTATCTATCTATCTATCTATCTATCTATCTATCTATCTGTTTGTCTGTCTGTCTGTCTATCTATCTATCTATCTATCTATCTATCTATCTCTATCCATCCATCCATCCATCCATCCATCTACACTTTTTCAAACTGTTTTAAACTAAATAAACTATTACCAACAGGATTTCTCAAACCAGCCTCAAAATTTGTCTCGACAAACTGTAATAATCTAGTTATGTCTTATTATCTCATTTGGAAACTATTGTCCACCAAGAAGGAAAAGTAGTAGTTGTACTGTAGTTGTATTGTAGAAGTACTTTAGTTGTATTGCAGTAGCAGTACTGCATTATAGTGGTAGTGTCACTTCTGTACTATTGCAGTAGTTTTACTGTAGTAGTAATTCAGTTGTATTGCAGTAGATGTACAGCAGTTAGTTGTAGTGTAGTACTTCAGTTGTGTTGCAGTAATACTTCAATATACTTGAATAATGCAGTTTTTTGTGTCCAAAAAAAAAACTGCACTTATCAGAAGTTGACTAAAATTGCAGGATTCCTTTAAAAAAACTGCAGTATATTTTTTGTAGAGGATGACTGTCAGATTTCTGTGTATTCAATCCATTTGTGTTTAAATATGTATAACATTTGTACTATTTAATCAAAGATGAATTGTAGTTATTTTTTAGACAATGAAGATCCCTTTCTGTTTGATTTATGCAGATTATCTGTTCTACGAAATCATCCCAATTCATATAAATTATGAACTCTTTCCAAATTGAGCTTTTCAAAAAATATCATGACATTATATTCATATTGCAAAAAACAAAACATCACAATGTCAGTTTTTTCAAATATGTGCAGCCCTAACTCCTACCCTAAACCAAAACTGTTACATTTTCTAAATACTTAATTCTGTGTGATTTATGAGCCATTTTCCTCATGGGGACCAAAAATAATGTCCCCACAAGGTCAAAATATATAGTTATTACTATACTAGTGGTGACATTTGGAGCCAGTAACATAAGAAACACAAAAATATAACACATACGCATGCACAAGCACACACTCATTGACACTTTATTCATTCACACTGCAGATTATTTGTTGTCGTGCTCAACAGATGGTAGGCATGTAATTCTGAATAGATATCAGCTAGAAACAAAGATAAAGTCGCATATTTGTTTTTGTTGAGTGTGTTGCTGTATGCATGTTTCCAGATACAGGGTCAATTAGTCCGGTGAATGATCTGTGTGGCATGGAGTGGTTTAACTGTTCCAAAGCTGAAAGGCAGGGCCGCTGTAAACTGGCCTGCTTGTACCGTCTGCTGGACCTCTACGGACACACACACCTCCCAAATACATATATAACCGTGAGTACTGACATTCACTGCACACACACTGTTTTTCAGAACTGATCTAGGACTGACTGTGCTCGCTGTTATTTTGCATGTAATAAAATCGAATGCCTTTGTTCGGAAAACATTGGTTGCCATAGTAATAGGCTTAAGTGACAGAACAATACAGAGACTACATAACAGATATTTGGGGGGGCAAATCCAGGGAAAAATTCAACTTCTGTTCGGGCCTATCATGACTTCTTTTGGTTTTTATCCTAATGTGAAGTGAAACCTTTTAAAGTTCTCAAAAAATAAAATATCATAAATGCAAATTAGGTCAATTTCCATCAAGTAGAAGAGCAATGACTGTATATTTAGCAATGGCAACGCTAAAAACCAATGCTCAATCAAAACTTTTTAAAATCCTGAATAAATATTGGAATTACTTTTGCACGCTAGAGGAGGGACAATACCATGGTTGTATTTCTTTTAGACAGGTAATGTAATGTTTTAGAAGTATTTTAGTCGCACAAAGCTGATGTAGATTCTGTTGTTACGAATGGGCTAACTTATATGCACAGAAGTGTTGTTCAGCAGCTGAAATTTTCCGGCAAAAAATTGATGTGACTATTTTCAACTTCATTAGGGACCTTTTACAGCATCACTATACTAATAGCGCTTTTCCGCCTAGCCTGCTTTACTGAGGTGAAAGTGGTTTTATATTCACGTTGGTTCATTTTTGAACATTGACAACCTGTGACGTGATCTCTATATTGTTTACCATGCTACTCTGAACATTCTGTCTAAAATAACATGGAAGTATGGCTTTGTAATAAAAGTAATTCCCGCACGCCGCCGGCCAACCGCAAAGCATACAGTAATCACTTAAGGACAAAGTGTGTGAGAGAGTGAGACTGATCAGTGAGACTGATGAGCAAGTGCTGACAAGTTGTGCTTGCTAACTACAAAACGTTAACTGAAAATGTACTAGATATAATACAGCTTTTCATTCAGAATTGTAGTATTATAAAGTACTATTAAATTTTCTAGCTGCCGAATGACAAGATCCAGTGGATTGTCTACTGTCATCTTTAATGTGCGCGTTCGTGATTTCAAGAGTCATGGCTTTGGACGGCAGGGGACGGATTGTATTTGAAGGATATTATGCTAACTGTTTAGCATTTAGGCAGATCACCTACTGCACTTCAAATTAACCAACAGTAAAAAATGCAAGTATAATGGAAACATCTGATTAGTAATGTGGATTATTAACATTTTAATCTCCCATTATTTGCATGAACACTTTTATTTTGCATAAGCTCAAAACTACCTTAAGTGAGTGTAATTTTTGTTGATTTTTCTCAAATTAAGGGATTTTTACTTGAAATCTGCCATTTCCATCATTTGTTTCTCAGGCGATATTTCAAATTGAGCATTAACAGTGTAATAGAAACCCACCTAGTGATGCTGAATTTACTGCACGACAAAAACATTGTGAATGTATATATATATATATTTCCCGGAGATGGGCTGCAGCAGGAAGGGCATCCGCTGCGTAAAAATGTGCTGGATAAGCTAGCGGTTCATTCCGCTGTGGCGACCCCGGATTAATAAAGGGACTAAGCCGAAAAGAAAATGAATGAATGAATATATATACATATATATATATATAAATGAAATGGCCTTTGTATTTTTTTGTTTGTTGCATGTTTATATATATATATATATATATATATATATATATATATATATATATATATAAACATGCAACAAACAAAAAAGTACAAAGGCCTATTCACAACATTGTCAGACATAACATAATACCATATCATTCAGAAAACATTAAAGAGAAAAATTGAATTAAATATAAAAAATAAGTAATTTACAGAGAAATTTGTAGGCTTCACAACTTGAGATATGCCAAACCAATCCCACCTATGATGAGTTACAAGTCAGCATTACTGATATAACATATATTGGATTCCAGATTTTAAAAAAACATGTTTGTTTGCCATCTCATTTCGCATTTCTTCCATGGGCAACACAAAACTTAAACTCCTAATCCAGGATTCAAAGATAGGCACATAATCGGATTTCCAATTTTGTAAATGTATTTTCTTTGCTAATATAATACACAATGATACTGCCTGTAATTTATATTTATCTCCTATTTATGATGCGTCTTCAAAACTGCCCAATTTTGGCTCTGGTGACAGATCAATCCTAGATACTTCAGATATAAGTTTGTGTGAATGTTGCATGCATGTTCAAATGAATGAATTAAGATCACTTTAGTCACTCTTAATATGATAAATCACTTTTAATGCTAAAAAAATACAACATAAATGCATCTACCATTCTGATTGAAACACGTTTTCCTACATATAGATATGGGTAATCTTGAGTTTGAATTTTTATTAATACATTTTGCTGATTAGACTACAAACAGATAAACAGATTTGAATCAGATATGTCTGAACACTGTCTGCTCCTCATTTTAGTGTATTCTGGTCAAATGCTGCCCACTTAAAAAGGAACAAGCCACCTGCATGGCACATTCTGTTTAAATGTGGATTTACATGATATAGATTATACCACAATACTATGAGAATAAAAAAAATTGAATTCAAAAAGTGGTTTCCAAACAGTTGTATAGAAAAATATGTAAAAACATCACTAGTAGTAATAGTAGTAGTAGTATGAAGTAATATTAAAAACTTCTTTCCAGAATCTATTTTTAAATAAATTAGAAATTTGTGAATTATGAAATATATATAACCAGATGATGGAGACATATTGGATTTTTATTTTTATTTTTTTAATTTGCACTTTCTTGATTTCTTTCAGGTACGTCTATGGCTGGATTTTATTCATGGCCTTTTTATGTTCTTTCGATTTAATACAGCAAAATAAGCTTGGACATTTTATGAAAAGATCATAAACACACATGAAAGATAAAGGGAAACAATTAAACAATACATATGACAAAGCATCTTTCATTCCTCCACATCTACCATCTGCATCCTCTAACACTAATCTTAATAGCCACAAAACCACACCAAACGCTGTGGGATTGTGTAAGAATCAGGACTAGTAAGTGAACTTTTGGGCTTCAAACCAAACTTGCAATTTCAGACAGCAAAGTTGAATTATAAATATCGTCTGGCAAGTGCAGTTGCATAAGAATTGGTGTCATTTTGTTGCTGTCTGAAAGCATTAGGTATTACAGCTATCCAGTCATAAGTGTTTTTTTTTCCTAAGCATAACAGAAATATACAGTTCTTTTGACAGAATTTTAGCTTACCCTCTGCTAAATCCCTCAATCCAGTTGTCAGAAGCAGCCATGATGTTGGAACCGGAGATTTCCAGCACATCTGAAGTTCTTTTCTCTGTCTAATCCTTTCAGACCATGTTAAGCATAAACAAATTTAATACCAGAATTAAAATGTAATGTTCTTTTTCTCTTCCTTTCTTTCTTTCAATCTCTTTTTTTCGTTTTCATCGTCAGCTTCGTATCAACAAAGAACAGGATCATATTCTTATTCTCCCCAAAGGATTGTCATTCTCCGAGGCCACAGCAGCCAGTCTGGTACACACCTCTTCACATATTAAACATGAATTATGAAGTTAAAGGTCCCGTGAAACTGAAATAAAAAAGTTTAGTTGTTAGTTTCAGTCTGTTAGTTTTAAGAATATCCATTAGCTAATGTGATCCAAAACAGTAAAAAAAATTGCATTTAGAAAATATTAAACTAATATAAACATCTAAAGTTTGTAATTTCCGCCTAAATCGATCGTTTTTTTTTTTCCACATACTACAGTTTCTCATCAAATCTTGACCAATAAGATGCTCTGTAGTATCTGACATGGCCCACCCCCTTCAAGACACTTCTCATTTGCTTTTCGTTTGATGCACTTGAGCACTCGATCTCTTTGGCAAAGCTGTAATAAAACCAAAATGCTATTGGCTGTTTTTTATTTTTTTAAGGGAGAAGCTACTCTATGTCCCATCCTCTTCATTTTTCTGTTGAGATTACGTCAAACATAGAATAAAAAATGCACATTTCAAATAACTGCACGGGACCTTTAAAAACAATGTATAATTTTCAACAAAGTATAAATACACCATTATATGTAATATTTGATAAGAGACATTAAAAATCATGTTCACATTTGTCCATGTACAACATATTGTTCACAGGTGAAGGTAAATCTGATTGGTGAGGTGGTTGATCAAGGGGCGACTGCACTACCTGTGGATGTTTTGGGATTTAAACCACATTCTGCCATATATTCTGCCAGACCAGATGCCAAATGTGTTGTACATACATACACGCCAAATACAGCTGCAGTGAGTATATAATACATGTGGTGGGTGGGAATTTTCCAAATGGCATGGGAGCCTAGATTAACGTGTTGATCCTGGAACATCGTTCCTGTTCGAAAATGTAACTCATAACTTTAGCCAGACAAAAATTGCAGAGATTTTTTGCTATTTCTGTGCAGAATTCATAAAAAAATCAGCAGATTTATGGGGAATAATTTTGGGAATATAGTAACTAAATATATGAAATAAATATAATAACTTTTAAACTTTTATTTATTGTTTACAATGCAAATCCAATTAGATCCACTTATTTGATAAACAACCCAACTCTCTCATATAATATATCTAATAAAAGGGAGAAAAACTTTACAAACTGTATTGTAAATGAATCATATGAACATTTTCATATCAGTCAGTAATATTACTGAAATTAATTTAAAAACTGAATAAATATAAATTTACACACATTTACACTAGTAAATAAATAGACTCAATGATGGGCTAATAATTTGTAGATTTCTCAGTGTGCAGTTTCCGTTTGGGCCTATCCATTATTAATCCCTACACCTAAACATAACCCCAACTGTTAATAATTCCCAAAATCAGAGGGGATAAATATTTAGATAACAATAATATAGAAGCACTTAACCTTAACTAAAAGCCTAAACCTAACATAAACTGTGCATATATCCCCAACATACAGTAAATTTTGATCCAGAAACATCACACTAAACATACACACATGCTCAATTGTACAGACCACTGCCCAATATATTAAGTATAAACATATTATAACTAAAACTGATGAAGGAGATACATTAAGCACTGTTTCCTTCTTCCAAAAATTACATTTAAAAGTGTGTAAGCAAATTGTGAGAGCTTATGGATAACAATAATGGCTAATGTTACTCGCACATACAGTGCTACACAAAATCTCTCTTTTAAATTCATTTTTAATAGAAAGCTTTACAATATTATATTTGTGCATATACATTAGTCAGTACTGAAGCCAAATCTGGAGCTTATCTAACAAAATAACTTACGATAATGGTACAAAAACAAGTACACTCAAATGTATATGTCATAGAAAAATATTAAATACAAATAAAAAAAAGAGGAAAAATCAAAAAAAACAAATAACATTTAGTTGAGATTTTGTAGGTTGTACTTTTATTGCAATATTTTGCTTGAATTTAATTGTATTATCTTTTAATTTCTAAATATGTTGGGTGACTAAAATATCATTAGAATAAATATATCAGTTTAATAAATCTGTTTTGTTTAAATGCACCAAAATACATATAAGCCTATATTCACTGAGAAATGGATAAAAATATTAATTTTAAAAATGGGGTGTACTCAATTATGGGTAACCCTTTGGAATAACTATCCGTTATAACTAGTTAATAGTCCATAAATAAAATGTTAGTTAATGAGTTATAAATGACTTGTTAAATAAAAGTTAGTTTATAGTTATTATTTTGTTAGTTATTTTTAACTTTTCCTTATAGGTAGCCCATAGATAACTTACAAGCTGTTAATTAACAAGTTATAAATGACTTAAGTGTATTTAAATGACAACTATACCTAATAAATTAGTTATAGATCATGAACAACTAACAAGCTGTTAGTAAATTTAAGGCTTGCTAAGTATCAGTTAATTTTTATAAACATTATTGGGATGTTATTCTAAAGTTCCAACTGTTCTTCATTTCTTAACTGTTAGTAAATAAGGAATAGTTGCAACTAGAATAACATGCAAATAACATACTTAAGCTAATAACTAACACTTATATAAAAGTGCCCAAACCTCATGGGTTTGTATTCTGTCGTATACTGAGGTTCTGCAATGTGATGGTTCAGTATGTGTGTTTCTACAATAAACTCAATGTTCAACATTTCATCTGTGAAGTTTCTTTGGTAAAATACAGCACACAGAAAAGACTATGAGTGGAATAAGGTTAAGGTACAAAAATATATATTTTAAATATCACATACAATTTCTGTAGCTTGCACTTGTTCCCTCCATTTGCTATTCTACAAAGTTTCTCTGGTAGAGGGTTAAACTGTAAAGTGTGAGTTAAAATATCAGTTAAGTGTTAGTTATTAGCTTGTGTATGTTATTGGGACGTTATTCTAGTTGCAACAATTCCTCATTTACTAACAGATAATAAATGAAGAACAGTTGCAACTTTAGAATGACATCCCAATAACATATATAAATATTAACTGATACTTAACAATATATATACGTAATAATGTATACAATATGTAATTTACTAACAGCTTGTTCATGATCTATTACTAATGTATTAGGTATAGTTATAAATAATTAAAAAACAGTTAACAAGTCATTTACAACTTGTTAACTAACAGCTTGTAAGTTATCTGTTGGTCATCTATAAGGCACAGTTATAAATAATTTACAAACTATTAACTTTTAATTAACAAGTCATTTATAACTCAATAACTAACTTTTTATTTATGGAATATTAACTAGTTATAACAGATAGTTAGTCTAAAGTAGGGGTCACCAATCTCGTTCCTGGAGGGCCGGTGTCCCTGCAGGATTTAGCTCCAACTTGCCTCAACGCACCTGCTTGGATGTTTCAAGTATACCAAGTAAGACCTTGATAAGCTTGTTCAGGTGTGTTTGATTAGGGTTGGAGCTAAAATCTCCAGGACACTGGCCCCCCAGGAACAAGTTTGGTGACCACTGGTCTAAAGTGTTACCCATTATACATTGACTAACTGCATCTCTGTTTAATGTTCAGCATCTTTTTTTCTCTTATTTATTTTGTGTTGTCACTTGTAACTTTATGTACACTGGAAGCCTCTGAAGCCACAAATTCCTTGTGTGTGTGAAGCACACTTGGCAATAAAACTGATTCTGATTCTGATTATTTAGCAGTTTTTGGCTTTGGGTCTTCCTCTGTACATTATGTTGACAAACAGTGTCTAGAGATGTGGCATTTTGCAAAAATCAGACTTGATTTAATTTATTAAGAAACAAAAGCATTATTGTGCACTTTAAAGGAGGCCTATTACGGAAAAATAACATTTATAAAAGATTTAACCAAAGTTGTGCGGCAATAGTTAGGATGCACAAATGAACACTGTTGTCTCCAAAGACCAGTGGCTCTAAAAGTGGGGGTCGAGAGACAATTAGAGGGGTTGCTTGGTGATCTCCAAAAATCTATCTTTAAACTATTGGAACTATCATATTTTAACCATAACCTGAAAATTTGTTTTTAATTTATAATAAATTGAATATATAGCTAATATTTAATAGTTACATAAAAAAAACATGCAAATTTCAATTTTTTTCGATTGGATTGTGACCCCTGGGGTTATTATGCTAGATTAACATCACAGCAATAACGTTAGTTGCAGCATATTGATTTTACGATACAATGTAAAACTTTGACACCTTTATGGCACTCACATACTGAACATTAAAAAAAGAGGCCACAACTGAACAAGGAGGATGATCTCCAAGTGGCTCCAAGTCTCCAAAATTAAACCAAGAATAGTCTTGTGCTATAAACATTGCTTACCATTGTCATTAAGTGAGATTAATATTAAATTAAACAAATGAATAATGATCATGAAAAATAGACTTTTGCACTTTTTGTGTCATCAATAAGCTTGTTTATATAGTTCCTATTGGTGTGTAGGCACCATTGTGTGCAATATTTTTATGCTAATTACCACCTCCAAGAATAGAGGGGGTCGCAAGTTACTGGTGTATGTATTTTAGGGGTCACAGGCTGAAACGTTTGAGCACCCCTGCCATAGACTACCTTCTTCTGAGCCACTTTTTTCATCTTTTTCATCTTTTTTTTTTTTTTTTTTTTTCACAGAGAAAACATTTGTCCTGTTTTGAATCTGGCACTGTGCTGAGGCATAGGTGTTTATAGCACAGTCCTCTTTTGTAAAGAAGGCTGGGAGCACAATCTACTTTGAATTTAAAGCAACAGCCACCAAAACAAGCACAATTTGGATCCAAACCTAAAACGGGCAATTTCAAGAGTTCTAAAACATATCTGTGCTGTATTTTGATCTGAAACTTCACATACACAAACTCGGAGACTTAGGTCCCCTTAAAAACTTTTATAAACAGTTACATTACACACTGCAGGGAATGTAAAAAGCATAATTGGGCACTTTAATACATTTGTAAAAATAATTCTTATTAGATTTATAATAATTAAGAATTCAAGTGGCCTTTTTCTTTCTACTAAACAAACTTTCCGTACGTCCTACAGGTCTCTTCTATGAAATGTGGAATCTTGCCCATTACCCATGAGGCTTTGCTGCTGGGGGAGGTGTCTTATTTTAGCTACCATGGTGATTTAGCTGACGAGCAGGAGAAGATGGAGCTTCAGAAAGCTTTGGGTCCCACTGCCAAGGTGACAGCTAACCGTTGGCATGACAACTATTAGTAGTTTACTGTATAGTACAGCATGGAAAAGCTTAAAGCAGTGGAGAAATAGCCAGTTCTATCTATATACAGTTAGAATCCTTTGCTATTATTTTTGTAAAGGCATTTTTATATTTTTATACAGTGCATGTTATAACTGTAGTATAATAATGTTTTGTGTGCATACCAGAATGCATTATAGTGGATTTACAACAGTAATGCAATTCTGCTTGTTTGTAGGTTTTAGTCTTGAGGAATCAAGGTTTACTGGCGTTTGGAGAGACGATAGAGGAAGCTTTTCACTATCTCTATCACTGCCACCAAGCCTGTGAGATACAGGTAAATACACACATTAAAAGATGAAATATGGGATAAATAAACAAATATAGAACTGTTGAATTATGAAAACTGAAAGTAATGCAGGCACACGTTAAATGTAAATTGAATGGAGCACAACATTCAGGTTCATAAGGTAAAACCAGCTGATTTCTTATAATTTCTGATTAACTTTTAAAGACAGCAATAATATCTGGATGCAGCCTTTAGCCAATCTCAGCTTGCATCACTCAGCAATGCAATGTCAGACACAATGCACTCAATGGAGTGAGTAAGGTCACTGTGACAGGTAGGGTTAGGGGTGGGGTAAGGTGAGCACATTAAAAAGCATTGGATGCAGCTCAGATTGCACTGTACCGAGTCTGCAGTCAGACCCCTCTCAAAGACAGACTTGTAAGGTTGTGTAAGCTTATATTTCTTACCTACAATTTGGCAAAATTATTAGCCTTCCTGTGAAATTTACCAGTTTATTTTCAAATTTTCTAAGTTGCTGTTTAGTGGAGAAAATATTAGGCAAGTCATTGAACAGCAGTAATTTGTTCTGTAGCCATTACAAAATTTTTAAAGGGGCTAATAATATTGGCCTTGAAATTATTACATTAAAAATGCTTTTATTCCAGCCAAACTAGAAAAAAAATAAGACTTTCTCCGGTAACAAAGTAAAACATAGCAAATTGCCTTGCATTGATAAACATCAATTGGTTAATATTTAAAAAGTAATTAAAATTTCAAAGGAGAGCTAATAATTTTTGCCTTCGGCTGTATATATTTAATCTATTTTTTAAAAACAATTATGTTTAACAGCAGAACTCATGTAGAAAAACTACATTGCCCATAAAGCTAAACTGAATTCGCCCAATCAGAGAGTCACACCAAGCAAAGTGTGCAAAAAAAGATCTTTAGTTCTGCCCACTTTCACCAAGAGCTACAAATGATATGATCAAGCTGGCCTACTTACAATTAAAATATTCGCATATATGCAGATTTTACTATAAATTTGAAGTACATTATTTATATATAAACGTAAGTTTTTTTTTTTTTAAATAGTTGGTACATTTCTCTATCATTGCTTTATGTGATTGCAGATCTTTGTCATTTTAAAGAGCACCTATTTTAGCCCTTTTATGAGATGTAAGGTAAGCCTTTGGTGTCTCCAGAATGTGTCTGTAAAGTTTCAGCTTAAATACCCATCAGATCATTTATTATAGGGTCCAGAATCTTCCCATGTTGGTGTCTGAATACATTGTAGCTGTTTTTGTAGCCTGTGGCTTTAAATGCAAATGAACTTCTTCTCCCCGCCCACCGTTACCGCAAAAGTGTCTGCTTCTCATGCAATATGTTAGATAAACAGCAGTCGGTGATAAAGACAGACTCAGTAGAAGCTAAAATACAGCTCATTAGTCAAAAATACCAAGTAAGTTTATTTCATGTATTTGTTGTGGAGTTTATTCAAGCCTTTCTGAAATGATGAGTCTCACATAAATGCTATTTGCTCTACACACACATGTTAGCATTTACTGACACCATGTGGCCATGGTGATTATAGCGGTTAAAAATTATATCGATTTTACTGTCTTTATTACAAACATGCTCTGTTTTAAAAAAGGTTTTAAACTTTTTTAAAAAATTACAAAGAGTTGTTATAAATATTTTAATCCCAGTTTATTTGCAAAAAAATGTTCTGTGGACATGTGTATACATGTTATTATAAAAACATGGTGCCTGTCAATCAGTTCAGTGGGTGAGGAAAACCACACTCTTAGGTCACGTTGCGGTGGGCCTCAAAATCCCTGGGATTTGGGTCGTATTTTAAGGTCAGGAAATTTTTAAAGAGGCTAATTGTGTTTATATCACTCCAATAAGACTGTGGACACACCATACCTGCACACAGTTCTGTCCAAGCAGCTTAAAAAAGTTGATTTTCATTAAAGGTGCCCTTTAAAGTAAACTTTCATCTTCCATTTTTGTTTTTTTTTTGTTTTAATTTTCGTATACTTTTTTGCAACAAGTCAAAGAAGTATACATATATGCAATGCATTTAATGTTTTTAGATGACACAATACCAAATGTTTAAACTTTTGAAGATTTAAAAATATTATACATTCTACATATTTTGTACTAGAGTACATAGAAATGGATTGACAACAAAGTCTCTGTTCTGAATCATTCATTTTAAACCCTGCCAATACATTAACAGACCTCAAATCTGTCAACCAGCATCATCTGTGTTTGTTTCTCTTCAGGTTAGCGCTGTGCTATCTGCAGGTGGCGTCAACAACCTGTGTGTGTTAGACAGAGCGAGTCTGAAAACAGCTCCGGCCAAAAATCCCGGTGGACAAATGCCAGATGGACAGATCAGATGGAGGGTTGGAGAAGCAGAATTTGAGTCGCTTATGAGGATGTTAGATAACTTAGTGAGTGGGTTTTAAGAGAATTTCTACCAGATGTGCGAGCAACAATTAAATGCTGTCTTTCTGATTTCATTATTAAACAGTAAACAAACAATAGTACTACTAACATTCCGGCTCATGCTTGTCCAGGGTTACAGAACAGGTTACACTTACCGCCATCCCATAGTTAAAGAGAAGCCTCGACACCATAATGACGTGGAGATCCCAGCAACCGTCACTGGGATGGCACTAGAGGAAAAAGACACCTTTCCACATAGTCCGCTGCACATCCTGGGACAGAAACGGGACAGAGAGAGGATACGATGGCTGAATTCACCCAACAGCTACTTAAAGGTTGATGTACCAGAGGAGTCCTTCAACGGGACCTGCAGCCCCCGCACCAAAACTACGGTATCACTGCATATGCTGATTTATGAACATGCCCACACACTGCATGCTAATATTGAGACTTTCATACGGCTGTGGGTTATTATGGATGAATTGATTTGAACAAATTGAGGTTCATAAATGGTTAGCACTGTCACCTTACAGCTAGAAGGTCACTGGATTGAGCCCCGGCTGGGTCAGTTGGCATATCTGTGTGAAGTTTGCATGTTCTCCCCGTGTTCGAGTGGGTTTTCTTTCAGATTCTCTGGCTTTCCCCACAAGTCCAAAGACATGCGCTATAGGTAAAATGGGTCAATTAAATTGTCCATAGCATAAACAGGGTCCTCGTGGGGAAAATGTCTTAAAGGGGTAGTCTAGATTGTATTTAAGTCTTGGTTGTGTTTATAAGATGCAAAGCAATGTGTGCTCATGCTTAATTAGTGAAAAATCACGTTATTTTTCCATATATCATACTTCAGTTATTATACTTCAGTACATATCATACTCAGCTAATATTAAAACGACAATCATATTTCCTAGTTCCGCCGAAAGCCTGCCCTCAAGAGGCTCTGATTGGTCAGCTAACATAATTGTTGTGATTCGCAGATAGGCTCCATGTCATCAGGGGTCCGTTCTTCGTACGTGGATTACTCAGTAAGCTGGATTTGGATATTGATGATTTGACATGATCCAGGATCGTTTCGTTCTTCAAAGCTGATCCGAGAGTTGTTGTCATGGCAACAGTTCTGCTAGGTCAAACCTGATCGGCAGCAGGTTCAATTCATATAAACAGGATTAGATCGGCTCAGTTCAAGCAAAGATAATACAGAAAGTATGTTCCGAATTCTGATATTTTCTTACAGTAGTAGTTATATAAACTTAGGGAAATGGTACATATTTTTAAACTATATAAATAAAGTTATAGTCATTAATAAAATAAATTAAGTTATACATTTTAATAAAACGTATGCAATCTGCACCCTCGAAATAAAAGTAGGCTACAAAGATTGCCACCTAGTGGTGCAAAGAGAAAGCTTATTGATATGAACTTTTTAGATCGCTTTAGTACAAATTGTGTATAATAGAAATGCACAATATGTGACTTTTTTAAAGCAATAATACATTTCAGCAGTCATAAACATGTTTTGACAGTTAATATGCCAGTGATTTGATGCTTCACAAAAGTTGCAGACGCCTTTACCAATATGAAAACACTTTTGTAAACAACCAGTTATTCTTTACACCGATTAAAAAACGGCTACTATAATAAAGAAAATCTTTTCTAAATGTAGAACTAAATACATTGATATGCATTGAAATACATGATGAATACTCTTGACACATGAAATTGTAAAGCCTGCAGCTCACAACATGTGGAAGGTTATTGCGTGTCATATTTAACAAACCGTTTCTGCTAATTTGATGTAATTTTGCTCACATGGATAATTGAATATTAATCAGATGATGTCATTACGCTGCTGTGCCGTCAGCCAATCATTGCATTGCTGATCATGATTTCGAGGATCGATAGATCTGTCCTTCACAACACACGCAGCGATCTCAGATCAGTTTATCCAGACATTCTAATCTGATCCGCGAACTCGTTAGAAGAACCAAATCAGCGAGAGATCAGTTATCAAGATTAAAAGATCCGGGATCTGCCAAATAATCTTAGATCATTTAAGCGAGGTACGAAGAACGGACCCCAGGAATCGTTTCTGCTACAACATAACAGCATATCTAGCCACGTCCCTTCCCTGCGCGGGGTGTATGCCTGTAACTTGAAGGGTTTATGACATCAATTACCTGGATGTTAAAAACTTCCCCAAACTTCGTTCGAATTAGGCTTTGCTAATCTACCTCTGTAAAAGCCAATGACTCTTTTTGCACTGAACTTTGAGCGTATGACATTCAGAGATGTTGTTTATGTTCACACATCTACATTACACATCAATTAAAGTTTAAAATTTTATTTCGTAGTGGACTACCTCTTTCAACTTTAAAAAAAACTAAATTTTAGGCCTTAAAAGTCTTAAATTTACTGAAATTTCATCTTGTACGTCTTAAATAATTTTAAACGGGTCTTAATTTTCCTATGTCCAAGTAAAGCTACCCTATCGGGCCAAAAGAAATACAATTTACAAAAGCTGTTTGACAGTTTTTACAGCTATTTATCCAAATTAAATTCCCTAATCAGGGAAAGAAAATTTCACAATTACACTATTCCTCATGATAATAACAGAGCAAAATTCATTCTTTTTTTCAGCTTAGTCCCTTTATTAATCTAGTATCGCCACAGCGGAATGAACTGCCAACTTATCCAGCATATGTTTTTACGCAGTGAATGTAACAGAGCAACATATATAATAAATGTACTTTTTACAATGTTAAACTTGTTAAAAAATATATATATATATACATATATATATATATACATATATATATATATACACACACACACACGTGTGTGTTAAAACAAAAGTGTTTACAACAAGAGTTTTCTTGTATTGACACATTAAAATATGTCACTAAAAAATAATTACATTTGATTTATTTTTTTTTTTTTGTGGCAACTGACCGGGCCATTAGAAATAATCAGTTTAACCGTGTATAAGTTTAAAATTTAATTTATAACAGTCTTAAAAAGTCTTAAATTTGACATGATTAAGCCTGCAGACAGAAACCCTGTGTATGAGTGTGTGTGAATGCCAAAGTTGATGGGTGTTTCCCAGTACTGGACGGGCATTTGCTGTGTAAAACATATGCTGGAATAATTGGTGGTTCATTCCACTGTGGCGACCCCTAATAAATAAGGGATGAAGCTGAAGGAAAATGTATCAATGAGGTTCATAAATGCCAGGGAAGCATCATATTTAATTTCTGACAGGAATGTGGTCAGTTAGTTGTACTGTTTATCAATAAACTGACTGATAAGCTGAAGAAATGTGTTTTTAAACAAACTTTCAGATGACACTGATTTTTTGTGGGTACCAAAAGAATGTATCTTGTAGGGAATCCACATAAATTTGAAATGATGTCTGTCCTGTTTAAATTATCTGAGATATTTTTTTAAGAAAAAAATACTAACATTTTATACACAAGTACAAGAAGTAGTAATATAAAAATATTTTTTTAACATTATGTGAAAATCTGCATTGTCTGGAGCTAGGGGACAATTTCACAATATTTGCTTATTCAAAATATGAGGAACATGTTATGATGGCAAAATTATTTGGTAAAAATTATTTGTTATATTTATAGTCAAATATAGCTTATCGTGCAAAATGGTATTTGTTTTTTCATTTTAAAAAATCCTAAAAAAAGGTAAGTATATAAACAAATAAATTACACATTTACTCCAATATTCTATCAGTTCTTATACTTACTTACTCTTTATCCCAGGGCCATTAATGTCGAAGTTGATATTTAGCTGCACCATATTGGTGTTTCACAACATCTAGTTTTTATGAGGCGAGTTGTTAGCCCAATGCTTAACCCCCAACCTAGAGGACCAGGACATGCACACATACACTACCGACAATTTAGCTTACCAAATTTACCTACAGCACATGTCTTTGGACTGTGGGGGAAATTGGAGCACCCGGAAAAAACCCACGAGAACACGGGGAGAACATTCAAACTCCACACAGAAATGCCAACTGACCCAGTTGGGGCTCAAACCAGTGACATTCTTGCTGTAAGGCGGCAGTGCTACCCACTTCGCCACCATGTCACCCATCAGTTGTTATAGTTCACCCAAAAATGAAATTACTGTCATCATTTACTCACCCTTTACTTGTTTTAAACCTTAATGAGCTTCACATCATGTTGAACACTATTTTAAAGAGAGCTGGAATCCTGTAACCACAGACTTCCATAGTAAATCCTACCATGGAAGTCAATGGTTACAGGTTGTCAGCTTTCTTTAAAATATCATCTTCAGTGTTCAACAGAATATAGAAACTCATAAAGGTTTGGAACTACCTGAGAGTGAGTAAAAAGTGTGCAATTTTTAATTTTTGGGAGAACTATACCTTTTATTATATTGTCGGTTCTCCATAAGCTTGTTTCTCTGTGTAATTACAAATGGTCAAACTTTATTTTGATGGTCCGTTTGTTGAATTTAAGGGACATTGCATCTACATGGCAACTTATTCTCATTAGGTTATAAATAGACTGTTAGGTTGAAGTTAGAGTTAGGGTTAGTGTTAGTTGACATATACTTACAAAGTTTCTTATAGTCAGTTAAATGTCTGTTAAAGGAGCAGTATCAACACATATTAAACAGACAGTCTACTAATACTCAAATGGACCATCAAAATAAAGTGTTACCAGAAGTATTACATTCTCCAAGAACAGCTATGCTAATATCCGTAAAAAAAAAAATCTACTGCAACATGAATGTGTTTGAAAAAAGGGGAAAAAATACATGTTGAATTCTTTTCAATTATAATATTCAATTATTCATTTATTCATTTTTTTTTCAGTGGCTGAAGTCAGAAGAATCAGGAAGCTGCAAGGACACTCCAATTAAGATTGAGGACCCCAACCAGTTTGTCCCGCTTAATACTAATCCCACTGAAGTACTGGAAAAAAGAAATAAGGTACAGTATGTGTGTTTGTGACTAAAAAAAGAGAGGGCAGACTGAACAGACTGTGTCCACAGATTGTGTTCACTACACTAAAGCACTGCTCTATTTGTGGTGCTTTAGATTCGAGAACAGAACAGAGCAGATCTGATGACAGCTGGACCCAAGTCTCAACTGCTGGCAGACATTGTTATTGACAAGCCTCCTGGACCAGTGCGTAACCACACCAATAAACCCCACCACAGACACACATTCCAAATAAATAACCTTCAAAAGTGCTCTAAACTGCTGTTATAGTTTGTAGTACTTAGACAGGCGTTTAAAATGAAGACACTCACATTATTAATCCTCCAGTCACATCATCAGCAATCAAGTAAAGCTGTTGTATGCTCCACACAGGACCTCACGTCATGTGACTTCATGCTGCGATCACACGACAAGCTAATACTCCTCCCACATTTATTAGTTGATTTAAAATTGCACAACTCACCATTTTTAGTTCTATTGATAGAGTCCAAAACCAATGTCATAGGAAAAATAACATGTATATGACTGAGAAACAAACATCAGTCGATGCTTTTGCAATTCATTTCAGGCATTCATCTATGAGGATGAGGAGAAAACAGCTGCTCTACCACCCAACCCTTTTGACCAATCAGAAGCAGATCTACAGGCATACACACAAACTGTGGAGAACAAGAACAGCCAATCAGGTACATTCAGCAATGAATAAAAACCCGCAGAACCGCAGCTTCATTTAAAGGTTTGAGGTCAATATGTTTTGAAATACTTTTTTTTTTCAGCAGTGACACTAAGTTGAATAAATGTGTAAAGCAAAGACATGTATAACATTACAGGAAATGTAGGTATATAAAATGTGGTTCATTTCAACTTTATATTAATCCAATAACCCTAAACAGTTGTAAAACATATATATTTATCACAGAAATAAGCTATTTTATAATTACACTGTAAAACAAGATTGCTGCCTTACATTTTTTTAGTTCAAATACATTTTTCTAGTCAACTTACATCAATCAACTTACTAAAAATATTACACTTTGCATAACTTAAAAGATTTAGTTGAAACTCGATTAACCTGAATAAAACAACATAAAATATTTGTAGTCTTGAGTCTCGACTTTTTGTCATTACATTTTTTACAGTGGTTAAAAATTTACATTTTACTGATGACATATTTCATTCTAAATTTGGTGGTGGCGAGGTGGGTAGCGCTGTCGCCTCACAGCAAGTTGGTCGCTGGTTCAAGCCTCGGCTGGGTCAGTGGGCATTTCTGTGTGGAGTTTGCATGTTCTCCCCGTGTTGGCGTGGGTTTCCCCCACAAGTCTAAAAACATGTGGTATAGGTGACGTGGGTAAGCCAAATTGTCTGTAGTGTATGTGTGTAAATGAGTGAGTATCACTGTTTCCCATTGGTGGATTGCAGCTGGAAGGGCATGCGCTATAAGAATATATACATGTATACATTAGGAATTGTGTCACACTTACATGAAATTCTTATTGTGTCATATTTTTGTTCATATTAGGGTGTTTATGATGTTTTTTAACATATTGATAGGTGCAGTTGTGCGTCAATGAACTTTGCACCAAGGAAGAGCTTGATTTCAATTTAATTCAAGTTTATTTGTATAGTGCTTTTCACAATAATTATTATTCCAAAGCAACTTCACAAAAAGGTGCACATAATTACTACATTAAAGTCCAAATTAGAAACGTTATGGAGTTGTGTGTATGTTTGACATACATAGTTAACCTACTCTTATACAGTATTTAATGTCCTTCCATAAAGGTGATGTCTATTTGTTTAATACATGTCAATGAAGTGTATTTCTGTATTGTTTGCGTTGTCGTCAAAGTCCTCAGAGGGTGGGGTCATCTCTTCACAGATCTTGGATCTGATCGAATGGCACTGCACACTTTTGCTCTTTTTGTATGGCCTAAGATGATGCCATTAGTATGACTTTTGGATGTGATATAGGCACTGTATAGTCATGTGTTGATTTTAACTGGACTTTTTATGTGAAGATTTTTTTATGAACTAATTTCAAGAGGATCACACGCTTATGATTGCTTGCAGCCGGCCCCGCATTATTCAATTTATGATTCACCAATCAGATAATTCCTAAGCCACTATAAGTTCCGTTTAACAGCCATCTTTGTTTTGAAGAACTCCCCCTTTCACCCCTACTCCTTTCCTAGATGGGTGGCACGTTGGCTCAGTGGTTAGCACTGTTGCCTCACAGCAAGAATGTCACTGGCTCTAGTGCTTAACAAGCCAGCCGACGTTTCTTTGCTGAGTTTACATGTTCTTTCCGTGCTCATGTGGATTTCCCATGGGTTCCCCGGTTTCCTCCCGCCATCCAAAAACATGCAACTTAAAGTAATTGACTAATCCAAATCAGCACCATGGACATGCTCCTAGTAAGTAGTTATCTCTTAAGAGCAATCACTATCAGTTCATTAGCTACTATAGCAGGGGAGTTCTCAATATCTACCTGAGCTCAAACTCCCTTGCCTTGCTTTGTCTTGCAAACAGGAGGGATCCCCAGCCTCGCGGATCTTATAAGCTCAGGGCTCTCTCCCAGGGCAGCATGCCAAACAAGCTTTATAATCAATCATCAGTGTGAACTCTTGAAAGTTATTTTTTTGGATCTACAGATCTTTCTTGGACATCTGGTGGTGCTTCTCCTCAGTGATAATATATATAAATATTGTCTATACATGTACACACTAAATATACACAGTACGCATGCATATTAGTGTAATAATGAATCGTTTAAAAGCACTATTTGATTTATTGCAGTGGTTCTCAACCACGTGCCTGGAGAACCACCAGCACTGCATGTTTTGGATGTCACTTTTTTTTTTACATCCATTACACATCCTTTAGTCTCTGCTAATTAGCTGATGATCTGAATCAGGTGTGTTTGGTTAAGAAGACTAGGAAAATGTGCAGAGCTGGTGGCCCTCCAGTAACACGGTTGAGAAACACTGATTGTGTATTTCTAGCTTGATCAACTAAACATTTTCAGTCTCTTTTTAGCAAGACTACACTATCTACTTCTACATCCACTTCTACATTTAACCCGTGTATTTTCCTATACAAGCTCTTCAGTCAGAAGCTGATGAGGAGTTCACAGATGGAGAAATGACCACCTATGATGGCTCCACCATATCACTGTCCATCTCGCCGCTCATGAGTCCTGAAAGAGGAGGTAAAGATGCCCTTGTGTTGTTTCTTTTGAGCTATTGTCTAGGATTCAACATATTATCACTCTGATATGAACACACTAGTTTGAGTTTCATGACTTCTCTGGTCTTTCCTTTGGTCCTCAGACTGTCTCTCAGCTCTTCTGCAGAGCAGTGATGGCGATGACCTGACGCAGGATGAAGATCTCACTCTACAGGTCACTGAGCTCAGCCTCACTAAAGAGATGCAGGTCTCCATAACCACCACCGTCGCCAACAACATTTCAGTCACCAGTTCTTCTGAAAGCCAGCAGAAGTCACCCAAAAAGAAGAAAAAGAAATTTCGCACTCCGTCCTTCCTGCGCATGTCCAAAAAGAAAGAGAGGAGAGAAAAGGAGAAGACAACAGAGACAGAGAAAAAGCCAGAAGAAATGCAGATAGAGGAAGAAAAGGAAACCAAGAAGGACTGAGTTAACGATTCCAACTGTGCAGGGGATTGTGGGTAATGTAGTTTAAGGAGGATCCTGGTGTTAAATACAAGGATTTGTGGGAAGACAAACATTAGAAGTAAAGCAATGACTTGTACAGTGCATCCGGAAAGTATTCCTAGTGCTTCAATTTTTCCACATTTTTTTTTTTTTGTTTTGTTACAGCCTTATTCTAAAATGGATTAATTCATTTATTTCCTCAAAATTCTACACACAATATCCCATAATGACAATGTGAAAAAAGTTTTTTTGAAAATGTTGCAAATTTATTAAAAATAAAAAAGCTGAAAAATCACATGTATATGAGGATTCACAGCCTTTGCTCAATACTTTGTTGATGCACCTTTGGCAGCAATTACAGCCTCAAGTCTTTTTGAATATGATGCCACAAGCTTGGCACACGTGTCTTTGGGAATTTTTGCCCATTCCTCTTTGCAGTTCCTCTCAAGCTCTATCAGGTTGGATGAGAAGCAACGGTGTGCAGCCATTTTCAGATCTCTCCAGAGATGTTCAATAGGACTTAGATCTGGGCTCTGGCTGGGCCATTCAAAGACATTCACAGAGTTGATGTGAAGACAACCGTCGCCCCATTCTGAGGTCAAGAGCTCTAAAGCAGGTTTTCATTCAGGATGTCTCTGTACATTGCTGCATTCATCTTTCCCTCGATCCTGACTAGTCTTCCAGTTCCTGCTGCTGATAAACATCCCCACAGCATGATGCTGCCACCACCATGCTTCACTGTAGGGATGGTATTAGCCTGGTGATGAGCGGTGCCTGTTTTTTTCCAAACTTAACCTCTGGCATTCACTTCAAAGTGTTCAATTTTAGTCTCATCAGACTACAGAATTTAGTTTCTTATGGTCTGAGAGTTCTTCAGATGACTTTTGGCAAATTCCAGGTGGGGAATGGCTTCCGTCTGGCTACTCTACAATAAAGGCCTGATTGGTGGATTGCTGCACAGATGGTTTTCCTTCTGTAAGGTTCTCCTCTTTCCACAGAAGAATGCTGGAGCTCAGACGGAATGACCATAGTTATTCATCACCTCCCTGACTAAGGCCCTTCTTCCCCAATCACTCAGCTTAGATGGCCGGCCAGCTCTAGGAAAACACAATCCTGTCTCGGAAGTCTACAGACAATTCCTTTGTCTTCATGCTTGGTTTGTGCTTTGACATGCACTGTCAACCCTGCGACCTTGTATAGACAGGTATATGCATTTTCAAATCATGTGCAACTGAATTTACCAAAGGTGAACTCCAATGAAGCTGCTGAAACATCTCAAGAATGATCAGTGGAAACAGAATGTACCTGAGCTCAATTTAGAGCTTCACAGCAAAGGCTGTAAATACTTCTGTACATTTGATTTTTCAGGTCTTTTTATTTTTAATAAATTTACAACTATTTCAAAAAAACTCTTTTTTTCACATTGTCATTATGGGGTATTGTGTGAAGAATTTTGAGGAAATAAATTAATTTGATCCATTTTGGAATAAGACTGTGACATAAAAAAATGTGAAAAAAGTGAAGCGCTATGAATACTTTCCGGATGCACTGTATATGTAGTAATTAAACAGATTATTTCAATTTAACACATTTTTGTCAAAGCCATATTAGTAACTAGACCATAAAGAGTTAAAATGCCTAAAATTATTATCTGACATGTTAGTGAACTACATAATGCACATTTAATCACAAAATATTGCACTAAAGGAGGAATTCCAGTCCATATCTACTGATCCTGAATATGAAAAGCATTAGAAATGTGTTGATGGCTCTGCATTGTGCTTGTAGATTAATAGATGTTGTGTGCTGGTTTAATCAGGTGACAGTGAAAATATGAAAGACAGTGTGCAATTGGATCCTGGAACATTAGATGTGATATGGCCATTCAGCGTGATATGAAACTTATTTTTTATTTGCTTGGTTTCTAAATGGAGTTGTGATTGATAACGCATTGTTATTTAGGTTATAGTTTTATCATAAACAACTGTCTTTGTTATATGTTGTTTATACAAATCTAGGTCACACTTTATTTTGATGGTCCGTTTGTTAAATGTAGGTTACATTGCATCTACACACCAACCAATTCCCATTAGATTACAAGTAGTCTGTTGGGTTAGGGTTAGTGCAAGTTGACATGCACTTGCAAAGTTTCTTATAATCAGTTAATGTCTGTTGAAGGAGAAGCATCAGCAGATATTAAGCAGACAGTCTACTAATACTCAAGTGAACCATCAAAATAAAGTGTAACTCAGATCTATGTTGATAAAAATGTATTATACAAAACTGAAACACACCATTCGTGGTAATCAGGGCTGAGCAATAAGTGATTACAAGTCATCTGAATTACAAAATCAGATTCCAAATATTGATTACTTGTTATTAGATTACGATGATGGTGTCTATGGATGGATTACAAAATTACAATTATATATTGCAAGTGCTCTGGGGGTATATGATATGATTTGATGGAAAACAATCTAAAATGTCAAATATTTAACAGAGTTTAGCAGAAATGTGTAGTGTGCCATCTAAACTGGCCTTGAAAACACACAAGTTGTGAGAAATCAAGTCCGATAAAAATGCAACAAATACAATCTTTGTACTTTCTTTTCTGTTTGTCACAACATCTGTTTGATAGACATTTAGGAACCGTAGTTCCAGTTAATAGGTAATAATCTCAACAATAGAATAATTTTTTTTTAAATATGTATTTTATGGAATTTCTAGACATCAAATTTCATCTTTGGAAAGACTATGTCAAAAATGCTTAAGTGTTCTCATTATTTGTCTTACATGTTCAAACACTGCTTTTGTACTTTGCAGCGTTTCATGGTCATGTGTGTAAATGTAATGTAACAGCTGTAAAATAAAAGTGTGCTACACAGGGTTTCTGCAGATCAGAGTCAAATTAAGACCTTTTAAGACCATTATGGATGAAATTTTAGGCATACAGGGCTAATCACTAATGATTATTTCTAATGGCCTGGTTGGTCCAATAGATTTTTTTGCTTGCTACAAAAAAAAAAAAAAAAACTCAAATGTTATTTCTTAGCGACATACTTTAATGTGTCAAAACATGAAAACTCTAGTTGTAAACACTATTTTCGACATTTATTTTTTAATTGACAAGTTTAACTTTGTTGAAAGTAGATTTAACATGGAGGCAATTACATAAATAATCAAAAATACATCTTTGTTGGCTTTTGGTCCAAATTGATTGAGTATAACTTCTATTCAACCTAATGCATTTCTGTTATAAAACTTTAAGTTTCATGTCTATTTATAAATATTAAGTCTACTCCCCCTTACATCTGTGAATAGTTTTTGTATAAATGGAAGATCATGTAAAGGGATAAATTACTCTGTTATCATCATGAGAAGTGGCTTAATTGTTTTAAGTTTTCGTTCTCCGATTTTAATAAGATGGATTGTTGGTTATTGGATAGATGTCAGTTGGGGACCTTAACTTGGATAGGAAAATTAAGACCTGTTTAAAATGATTTAAGACATACAACACAACATTGCAGTGACTTTCAGGGTCTAAAATTTCGTTTTTGAACTTAAAGAGATTTTAGTTAAGTTTAGTTATAAGCTAATTTCGAGAGAATCACGTGCTTATGATTGTTCTCAGCTCTACCCGCATCAGCTCATGATTGATTCTCCAATCAGATGATTAACTCACAATAAATAACCAATTTTCTTATCTCAACATCTTCATCTTGAAGAATCCCCCCTACCCACCCCTACTTCCCCTCCTTTCCAGAAGGGCGACATGCCAGCCCAGTGATTTCTGTATGGAGTTTGCTCTTCCTGTGCTCACGAGGGTTTTCCCCATGTTCTCCAGTTTCCTCCCACAGTTCAGTAACACACAACATAAGTAAATTGAACACACAAAATTTATACCTTAGCCAAGCTCTTAAGGAGTACACCTCTCCTCAGCCATCCATATCCGTCATTAGCCAGATATAATTCGGGGGAGTTCATCAAGATCTACCTGCGCTCAAACTCCCCTCTCGCCCAGCAAACGGGAGGGAGCCCAGGTCTAGAGCATCTCATGAGCCTCATAAGCTTAGGGCTTTCTCCTGGGACAGCATGCCAAACAGGCTCTATTATCAATCATCAGCTAAGTTGGAACTCTTGAAAGACTTTTTAATAAACTGGCTACAGCTTAAAATTTATTTTAACACACTCTTTCTGTCAATAAAAAAAAAAAAAAATCAAGTAAATAATCACAAATTCTTCTACAAATGTCAACAAATCAACTTTTATTCCTCTCAAATATGTAAATATAGAAAACTGAAAAGCAAATGTAACAACAAATGGACCGCAGAAAAATGCTTATTAGACACGGCAATGGCCAGAGCAAAACAAACAAAAAAACAAAAAGTGACTTAATCTGTTCAACAGCATCAGTCTTCCCTACCTGGACTAAGTATGAGGGAGGCCAGTGCTTTCTGTATACATTTGTTCAACACATTATAAAATCGATCAAGCACAGTTCGCATCCTCAAGCGCTCGATCAGATCAGGTCCTGACAGCTTGAGGAGACCCTGTAAAACTAACCAGGAGAGCTGTCCTTCACTGAGGACTGACGCTTCATAAGTTACAACACTCAGAGACTCGTTCAGTACAGAACAGCTCCAACATCCACAGACTACACACCCACTATTAGTGGAAATATAACAAGGGGAAATGTGTTACTATATTCATTCAATGTCCAATCGGATGGTTTATGAATTCTAGGTGGGCTTTTGTTTATTTCATTTTTATGATGGGTGATTATAGACGAACAGACATAACACAAGGGGATTCACTGGGGCATTAAGTGCCGGACATTATACTTTGAAGTGTCATTGTACTGGGTCATGGGTTTATCAGCGATTCCACATGTGCCGACGCCAACCTTTCCATTCACACTCTCTGGAGAAGCGAATATACTCCTTTTAACCTAAAGAGAAAGATGCAACATGAGCATTAGGAAAGGATTTTTTTTAAAGGGCATGATCAGTCAGCATTTTCCACTCATACACACCTGTCCTTTTTTATTTTTGGAATATGCTTTATTGTTAAACTGCTGCCATTTGGACTTCTGATCTTCTCTCTCCTGCTCCAGCTCCTTCATGCGCTGAACCTTCTTCTGGGCCTTTTTC